TTTTTCCTAAGCCCGGTTCCACTACTAAACCAAAAAATAAAATAAAATAAAATAAAATAAACCAAAAAACATATTTCCTAGTCTCTTTACAGTAAATAACAAGACTCTTTCATGAGAGGTACTACAGCTTGAAATTTCTCTTTAATTATGTGGGAGTGGTATTGATATCCATGAATCATGCCTTTTACTCCACCTATTCAATAAACATTTATTGAATCAGATTCAATAAACATTTATTAAGGTTCTGCCACAAACTAAGGACTCTGCTGGATACCTTCCTAAATACTATGTCAGTTTGGTTCCCAAGAACAGATTTCTGGTCTGGAACAGGAATAATATTCACACATTTCAAATTGGTTGAAATCAAAGGAACTATAATCGGTAATTCAATACGACACTGGAACAAAACAAGATGAAATCTGCGAATTATGCATGACCAAAGGTACTCCTTCAGTTCAGTAGATATCCAGATATCCAAAACTTAATAGAATTTAGTCTATCTATCCAGGAGGAAAAAATAATAGTTAAATATAACAACACAGTTATTACTCTTAGCCTTAGAGGTCTGAATAGATTGTCATATGGAATAACTATTATATAAAATGAGAGCATTCATTTGGACTAAAATGGAAGGACTCTTGGAACATGGGAAACCACAAACATATTCCAAAGAGCAAAGGACTGATATGAGGAGTCCGGAAGAAACTATAAAACAGAGTAATTTCTAAACTATTGCTCATAATGTGTCATAAGTACTTCGACGTAAGCCAATTGGAGATCCACTGAGAAACAAATTTAAACAAAAACAAAGAAAATATGTTAACAATTTTGTAAACAGCAGCTGGCTCAGATGTATAAAAGGGCCAATGTGGAAGTCACCACCAAAACTCAGAAACTCCTCCAAGCAACGCAGCTCTCAACCCAACTCCCAACACCATGACCTGCTGCCAGACCAGCCTCTGTGGATATCCCAGCTTCTCTACCAGTGGGACCTGCGGCTCCAGCTGCTGCCAGCCACGCTGACCAGCTGCTGCCAGCCAAGCTGCTGCCAGACCAGCTTCTGCGGATTTCCCAGCTTCTCAACCAGTGGGACCTGTGGCTCCAGCTGCTGCCAGCCAAGCTGCTGTGAGACCAGCTGCTGCCAGCCAAGCTGCTGCCAGACCAGCTCCTGTGGAACCAGCTATGGCATTGGTGGTGGCATCGGCTATGGCCAGGAGGGCAGCAGTGGATCCGTGAGTACCCGTATCAGGTGGTGCCGCCCAGACTGCCGTGTGGAGGGCACCTACCTGCCCCCCTGCTGCGTGGTGAGCTGCACACCCCCATCCTGCTGCCAGCTGCACCACGCCGAGGCCTCCTGCTGCCGCCCGTCCTACTGTGGACAGTCCTGCTGCCGCCCAGTCTGCTGCTGTGAGCCCATTTGCTGAAAGCCAGTTTGCTTATTTTCAATTGCCTACGTCACAGTATCTCTGAACTGTTCATCCCTTGACCACCCCTGGACCACTAACAAGTTCTCGGACTTTGCATTGTCTGTGATGGAGACTACTAAGTATAAGAGTTCACAATTCTATCTGATTCCATTCTACAGTGAATACCTTGACTCTTCACTGCGGACACAGAAATGCTACAAAGTCACCTGCTGATCATCAATTTGCTTGGGATATACTATTTCTGATATTTCTGCAGGATTAAAAATTACTGACATGTTGTGGAATTTATCCATGAGAGCTATCCACAAGTCTAATGTTTCCATGCTTTATAATCCATATTTATCTTGTTTACCTAAAAGTTTTTGCAACATCAAAGACATCAAATTATAGCCAGGTGACATTCCTCAAGTGTCACCAGAGAGAATGGAAGCTCATTACCCAACATTCAGCTTCTAAGAAGTAGGCTGGACTTTCTACATTTTAACATCTGATCCATCCCTTGATTTTTGGATCATAATGATCTTGCCTGCTGGATATTTCAGTTATATCTGTGATACAATGTCTTCTGTCATTTCTTAATAAATAGTATATACTAGGCAAAGAAACCATTGTATTTGTTTTCACTTGTACATCACCTGGTTTAACTGCTT